ATTTGTGTACCGTCAAATTGGATCTGACTGGTACAGGAGGCGATTGTTCCTCCTTCTTCAGCAGAGCATCTAGTGGATTTGAACTGAGCACGTCTGGGATTGCAGTGCAGTTTCCTGCCACTAGGCCACCAGAGCTCGCCAAATATAACCATTTTTACCCTCAAATGAAGAAACACTTTGCTATGAAGAGTATTTACCACAAATGATAACATAAAAGTTCCACATTATCTTGGAGAAAAAAGGAAAGTTACACGTGTATATATATAGACACACACGCATTTAAAAAAAAAGTATCTCAGGGAGCTCTGGTGGCCTAGTGGCAGGAAGCTGCACTGCAATCCCAGAGGTACATGGTTCGAATCCACCATATGGTCTGCCAGAGAAGGAGGGGCAATCTCTTCCTGTACCAGTCAGATTTGATTTGACTTTTTTCGTAAAGTATCTCAGAGGCACAAGAAATGTTAGTTTGAAAAGTGGAAAAAATAGTTCATGATTGAAGCAAGACTTGGCTAACAAAAAAATGTGAGCAGACTAGCTGAACTGTGATTGAGTAGGCAATAAGGATGTGACAGAGCATGACAGTCTACATGAATGACCCCAAAAAGTGCTTTTGCTGTTTTTATAAGAGAACTATTTTATCTCTTTCCCATTAACTGTAGATAAATGGTAATACTAGGACATGAAGGCTTCTCATATTCAAATCTATCTTTATGTAGGAGAGATCTTATTGTTGGGGAGCTAGGTTAAGTCCAGGATTTCTTTAGAGAAACCATAGAAATAGCAAAAACTTAACATTCCTTTCCTTATATCAGAAAAAAATGTACATCTATGTTTTTCCCCTCAAATACGGCTATATCTGTACGCTCAGTTTTTAAAGCCATCTCTTTTTTTCATTCACCCAACAATAGTTGAACCCTTAATGTTTAGGTTCTAGAATAAGCACATTTGAATTACTGATAATTTTCTAGCTTGTGCATGCTAACTGGGAAATTTTAACTAACTCTACCACCTCTACCTAGTTAAGAATTCAGAAAGCTTTCATTGTAGATTTATGGTTTTATTTTAAACAGTTAATGATTTTTAAATAGATGGGGGAGGAAATCACAGATCACCATTAAAAAGTGATTATTGGCCAATATAATTTTAAAATTGTGTTTTGCCTTGTAATTTAACATCTGTTTTCCTGGATTTTTTCTTTTTTTTTAGGTTTCTAAGCATGAATTGAAGAACAAGAAGCAGAGCAGATGATTGGAGCAGCATTTGTTTCTCCCCAAAATCTAGAAATTTTAGTTCATATGTACACTAGCCAGTGGTTGTGGACAACCATTTACTTGGTGTAAAGAACTTAATTTCAGTATAAACTGGCTCTGGGCAGCGCTGGTGATGCTGTATCCTGAATTGTAGCCGCTGTAATTGTGAATATTAACTGAGATAGTGAAACATGGTGTCCAGTTTTCTACTGCATTTTTTCGAGTGGAAAAGTTAACTAAATGGTTGACACAAATTGGTGGAGAAATTGTGCATATGCCAATTGTTTTGTTAAAGCCTTTTATTTTGAACTATACTGCTTTGAGAAGTCATTTCAGAAGAATGGCATGAACAGTCTTCAGCCACAGTTGTGATGGTTGTAAATGCTCACAATTGTGCATTCTTAGGGTTTTTCCATCCCTGGGGTTTGCAAGTTGTTCACTTAAAACATTCTCAAAATGGTTGGCTTCTTCTTTGCAAGTCAGCTGATACGGTAGCAACCAAAGATTCCAGTGTTTGAGCATATGAAAGACTCTGCCTGCTAACCTGTGCTAGAATAACAGCATCTAAAGTGAAGATTTAAGAAACTTAGTGACTACTAGATTATCTTTAGGACTCTGCATTAACTCTATAATGTTCTTGGTATTAAAGGAAAAAAAACCCACATATTTGTCACAGAAAATTAGTTACCATCTTACAACTGAACATGTATGTATGTTGCTTAGATAAATGTAATCACTGTAAACATCTATATGATCTGGGATTTTGTTTTTATTTTGAAATGGGAGCTTTTTTTGTTTACAAGTTCATTAAAAACTAAAAACTTTCTGTAAGGAAATGAAATTTTTTTAAAAAAACAAAAATGCCTTGCTAACTTACTATGAATTCAAGATCTCCCCAATTTTTTAATAGACTACTTCAAGCCATTTGTTAAGTATGTTCCTTTATAAATCATTTTTTATTTAATGTTACAACTATTCTCAGTTTTTTTTGTTGTTGTTTTAAAGTTTTGTAAATTTTTGGTTTTGGTCTGAAGGGGAAAGGCATTCTTTCATTTTCTTTTTTTTTTTTTGTTTTTTTTTCTCCCTCCTCTTAAAGTGACTTGCAGCCACAATTCCTAGTTCTGCCAATTCCAGGACATGGTATTGTAACTCCTGCTGCCTCTGACTTTACAGCTGGACTGATTTTATTAAGAATAAAAGCGTTAAAGGGTTTAACTATGAAATAAAGTTTTCTTTAAAATGTTAGTGAAATAATTCTAACGAGATTGAATCTTGTTCTTGGAGAGCATCACACTATGTGAGACTCATGTGATTGTGGACCCTCCTGGCCCCACCCACTTCCATAGGTTATTGTGGGCTTCCTCTCGTCAAATCTTATTTCTGAACTCTTTTTCTCTAACCCAAGAGAAAGAAAACTTAGGGTAATTCTTTAAATAGTGTAATTTATTCATTTGTAGCATGTCAGAATAAATTAAGAAAACATTTGTGTGAAAACGCAGCCGGGAGCCTATTGTGTAAATGTGGGTATTTTGTACCATAACCTTGAAACTGTAATTTGATACTGTTTGGTCAGATTGTCAGGTTTAATTTGTATTTGTTAGGTTTTTATTATTACTTCATTTGAAATATACTTTAGCAATAATTAATTTCATGATCACCATATTTTATGATTTAGGGGTGTGTATTAGTACCATAATTTGGAGAAATATTAGTACGAACTTCTTCGGGTAGGCAAGCTTCCTTGTTTCTTTTCTATTCACCTTTGTGAGTTAAGATAATTTGTTTTCTTGATTAATAAACCCTTTGATACTTTTAGCCAGAAATCAGTCTCATAAAGCTATTTTTGAGTATAGTTTGTGTAAAATAAAAATGTTTAGCTTTGGTGATAACTTTTCCAAGCTGAACTCCCTCTAGCAAGATATTTTTCAGTGCTTTTATTTACTATGCACTTAGACTATGCACTTTTCTGAAATATTTTTGTAACACTTAACTTTTTTGTAATTTTGCCATTTGAAAAGGTTGTGGTGTAGTTGGTCTGTAATTAAGTTGCAGATTTAAAACTGTTAGCTTTGTAAATCAAAATATAGGTGTCTTGGTATATTATCATTCCATCTGCAGCTGGAGCTGGAATCCCATATGATCTTCTAGCTACCATTCATTTTCTTCGCAGTGCACAAAAGAAGAATGTGAAATTCAGTGAATGCTGTTATTAATCCTGTCTGGAGATGAATCTCATTTCACCAAATTTAAATTCTTTTTCACTAAAATGTTGATACAAGTTGAAGATACATCACACTGAATTTGGAAGACCTCACCACTTAAGGCTCCACAGTGGCATACTCAGCTGAACTCTAGGTTACTACTCTTTACTTTGTTCACTCAATGAGGGGTGTGGTTTTTTTAAATGTTGGGAGATGGCCATTCTAACTACTGTTGAATGTCTCTGTTTTGGGAAGGTATAATAAGAAAATAAAAAAGAATATATATGAAGGGAGAGACTCATCATCTACTCCCATATGGTGGTTTTTATGCTATTATGGCCGACTACAAATGGAATTTATTTTTTTTTTAACCTTGCTTTTAGACTGTCCCGTCATCAGGTGTTGTTTTTGTTTGTTTGTTTTTTTAAAGGGATTTCTAGAATTCCTTTACTGTAGGAAAAGTCTGTTACTATAAGAATATCAAAAGAATGTTAGAACCTATGTTGTTGAGGTAGCCTTTTATTGCTAGAAATCAGTAAGGGTTTTTTGGATTTTTTTAACTCTTGACTCAACCATGAAAATGTTGATAAGAACAGATCACCTGCACATTTCGGCTGAGCTGAATATTGAGTAGGCATCAGTGCAGGTGAACTGCTGGCCTTTGGCCAATTGAACACTTTTTAAATAGAATCCTGTGTTATTAGGCTTTTTGAGATACAATAAAGAAGTATATAAACAGATGGAGAATTAATGTCTCCAAAGTGTACTGTCCCAGTTAAAATCCTCACTTTGTGAGAATATGAACTGTGGCTTACCTTTTTAGAAGAATTTTTTCATACGCCAAAGATTATAATTAAACCTTAGCTACACATTCTGATTCATTATCAGACATACTGATGAAGTAAGTTATTTTCTGAAATAGCCTTGTTAAACCAGTTTTTAGAACATATTTAAAAGTAATGAAAATACTGAACAGTGGCAGAGCCATTAAGATAACTAATTGTCAAGGAAAAGTTAGTTGTTAAACAAGTGCTCTAGGTGATAAAATAGTCACGTTTGAGACCAATGGCTTCCATACTTCGATAAAATGTTTAAGTTTTATTCCCATTCAGCCTGGTTGGGTGAATTGAGTTTCTCTTACCTTTACCCCATCAGGTCCCTTGAAAATTTTGAAGGAACTCCTATTACTGCCTATTCTATCAATCTATCCTGAAACAAAATTAAGAAGTACAAGTATGTTGATGTTCAAAATGGAAAATGTGGAATATTTCAGTATCAAGTATTGGGAACAATAGTTAATTTGTGTTAGAGCCTCCCAAGGCCTAGGTCAAAGTATCTAACTCACTGCATTATATACATAAATGGAAGAGGAAAATAGAGACAATGAGATCATAATGAGCCAACTAGAGAATTCACTCTAAGAGCTAATGTTTGTCCAAGATACTTAACCATTTATCATCACAGTTGAATGTTTTTCATATAAGAATTTGCATAGGCATACAAATGGTTTGAAGCAGTTTGAGCCTTATCATGCATATGCATGACAAATAACACTGGTTAACTTTGTCAGGTAATTCAGAAGTGCGCTGGACAGTCCTGAATTGCCAAAAGCTCACCATTAACAGAATGTGACAGGTTTCTCTAGTAGAGATGCATACACGGTAGTGACTGGGAATAGTGGTGATGGTTTGATCAAGATACCTGGAAAGGGGGGTTATCATTTCATTTGAATATAAATAAAAGTTGGAGAAGTGGATGAAAGAACCCATTGCTAGTGTGAAGATGACAAGGTAGAATGCCTTACTCTATTAAAATACTGTAACATTTGCTGAAGATGAGCATAATTTCGTTTCAGTTCCAAATTCTTAGTGATTATGGGCCTAACCTTTCATATTAAGTTAAAATTGTGCAGCTTCATGAAACTGAATTTTAATGCCTAACCAACAACGTAGGTGTTAAATACACATTTATATCATTTAAAATTCCACATCATTTTAACTTTATTTCCATAATTAAGGTAAAACTTTTCCTTACTGACAGATTTTTTAAAATTACCTCCAGAATAAATTGTGTTTAACATACTAAATTGTTACGTGATCTTGGAATTAAAACTTCAAGACTAGTTAGATGAGACTTGAATTTCAAGTCCTCTCTGGCATAAAATAACTTGTACACAGTCTACTTTTTAAGATTTGTAACCATTTTCCTTTTACCATTTTTGTAACTATTTTGCTTTAAATAACAGCAAGAATAAAGAAAAGGGTCCCATTCCCTGTACATGTTCAGCAGTTAGCATTTAATCCATCAGCTATCACACACTTGCTCTCTAGATAAAATGGAGCATTATTATTCATAGCTTTCCTACTTAGAAATTCACCTACATGCAGTTACTTTGTGACAACAAAGTCGACTCTCAGTGCACAACCATAATTTCTGGAGATAGACTTGGAGAATAATTTGAGCCCGCTGCCATGCTGCACTCACATAAGTATCTATTTCTCTTTAGGTCCACATTGCTCAAATTTTTATACTTTGATGGTATTTTACTCTTTTAAGGTAATCCCCAAATAGAAAATGTACTATTTGGTGTGCAAAAAGAAATGGTCTACCTTACGGAGAAAATAGACATGTTAGATAAGGTACATTCAGGCATGGATTATTACTTGAGTTACTGGCTATGTATTCATGAGGTGGTTGGTTGGATTGATTTATTAGTAATATGCCTTTAAACAAATAAGATGTGTTTGTCAGATGAGGAAACCGATAACCTAATCGTCTTAGGAACCTAATCCTTCATTTCTCTTAGGATCAGTGGTATAGGTGTTGCTAATTCAGGGGTCCTGAAGTCCACTAGCCACTCCTTGAGAGAAAAGGGGGTAGTCTCTTCTCATGAATAGCTCCAGTCTTGGAAAACCAATGGAGGCTTGCTGTGAGCCAGAATTTCCTTGATGACAGTGGCTACTAACTTGAGAATAACTTGGAACCAGCTTTATATGTGCTCTTCATTCCTCTGTTCTCCACCTACCTTTAGTGGAAAGCTAAGTGCTTTTTAAGGGGTTATGGAATCCTATTCTCTGCCCCCTAATGAGAATAGATTGCCTAAGACCAAAGACATACTCTTTTTTTAAAAAAAAAATAATTTTAATGAAAATTTACAGAGACTGGATTTCCATTCATTCATTGTTGCACTTTGCTCCCTGCCCCCCCCCTTTCCTCCCAGTACACTCTTTTTGAAAAGTTACCTCATTGTTTTACAGTCCCTCCCCCCAGGTCCATTCCACTATGTAGCCTTCGTTCTGGACTCCTGTCATGACAATAATACCTAATCACATATCCCTTTTAAACAGTTTTCTCCCTCATCTGTGTTAATGCAGTATATGTTATTTATCCCATCTTTCTCACAAAGACGTACTCTTGAATGCAAGCAGAAGTGTCCATTTTATTTCCTGATTCATTCCACTTAATAACATCAAGCACTTTGTCCAAAACGTTAAGGGCATTCAGTGTGTTCTTGGTGTATCTCATTTTTTGGAACAGTTCTTCAGGTTTACATACCCTTAGATAACATACTTACTCTTCATCTCTGTCCAGAGAGGGTTTTGAAGCAGTGTTACCATAGTAGCAATGACTTAAGATTTAATAAAGGGTGAAGGGGTGGGAAGTCAGTGAAATCAAATGAAACATGCAGAAAAGCACAGGAGCACTTGAAGTATTTATATGAGCTTAAATAGGTGCATCACCAAAATAACTTCTAACCCTTTAAA